GAAGAATATTTAAATACTTAAAAATATACAAAAAAAGTCTTTAATAAAATTCAAAAAAAAATTTAAAAATAAAATATCATTTTTAAATTTGGACAAATATTGAGAAAACAAGGAAGTATTTATTATACGATAAATTCAACACAAAATACTTTCAACTAGGCTTTGAAAAAAAAAATTAAAAAAAAATTTCATGTAGACCTAGCTAAAATCATAAACAACGATGATTGTATTTATTTAAAAATTTTTAAAGCTGTTAAAATTAAGAGAAATTTTTTTAAATTAAAAAAAGAATTCTTTGGTTCATTTAATATTTCAAATTTTTATTTTTTTTTAAATTTTATTTTAAAATTTTTCATTTTATAAATATTTTATATATTTTTATGACAATATTCCTAAATAAAAAATAAAATAATTTTTTAAGAATAATAATTAAAAAATAGGTTAATATTTTTAAACATGACTTATCGACACTAGTGTTACTAAACATATTGTATAAGCAATGATATAATTATTAAGTCCGGGCAAGTCTCTTCTCGTTTGTCTGATCCAGCACCAATTACACCTTCACCTACATTGTATCTTCTATTCTTGTGCTCGTCAAACTTGGTAAATCTCGGATAGAACTCAATAGGGAATTCACGATTATTGAATGTTGTGACAGGTGTTCGAAGCTCTTATTGATATTCATCTCAAATAGCATATTACGAAGTAAGCAAATCTGAAATTTCGTGGCATTTATCGAAAGCAAATTCAAGACGACAAAATTTATTTTATACTATAATAAAAGCAAACTTTCTATTTAACCTTTAATGAATCTCGATAATGAATCTCGACATATCAGATAGAAAATTATTAAGAATCACGTGTGTCGGGGAATGTATGGACTGTTGTGGAATCTGAGTTGGTGACCAACACAAGTTTAAGTGCTCCTCAAATTTATAACTTTATTGAGACTTTAAAAATACACAAGTTATTTTATCAACAAATTATTTTATTAACATTTTATATATTTTCTTTAATTGTTCTTTTTGTTCACAAAATTCCCTTAATATTTTGTACATCCAATTTGTTCGGTACAAAATATCCTTTACAACTTTTGTTCAGCAATGCTTTCTTAATTACTGCACATCCATTACAACTGACAGCTGCTGCTTTCATATAATCAGTTCCACAACCAAATACTTGGCTAGACTTTGGTGTGTACAATTTGTTAGGGTTGCCCTCCAACTGAAGAGCTCCTCTATAAAGTTCAAAGTAAACGTGAGGGCCTGAAATTTAATTTTTTTGTAGATTTAGAATTGATTTTCATCAATACGTTTAAAATAAATTATTTTTTAGCCAAACAGTAACACACTAAACATCTATGGCAGATATGAGGTATATAGATCGGCTTGTGAATCCAATCCTTTGCCTGATTTTGTCTGAGCTTTGGGTCAGAATCGAAACATTATAAGGATGTCTATCCCATATAGTGGATAATGCTTGATCCTGAAGCCTTCTTATTTGCTGGCTTATAACCGCTTAACCATCCTCACACTTACTGATCGTTTTCTTTTTAATTTATCTGCTAGGCTTGGAGGATCTAACACCTATTTTTCAAATGATTAGCCTATTTATTTACCCGCATATTGATCGCAATAAGGCGCCAGTTCACCATATACAGGAAGATTATTCTTAACAGGTACATAACAATTAGCATCTTCATCACAAACACAAAAATTCTTCATTCCACTTTTACCACAAAGAACCCGAATTGCCTTTAAATTTAATTTTAAAGTCTTTAAATTTTTGTTTTTAAATTTTACTTCAGGTTCATAAATTCCTGGACCTTTTTGGCTGTCATAAAATACATTTACCAGTGTTAATTTTGTTGGAGTTGGATTGCAATTGACAAAGCCTTTAATTTTTTAAAAGTTATTAAAGTACCTTATTATTAGCTAATTTTATCACTCTCATTTCCTCCACGCTCCCCTCCTTTTTAAATAGTCTATCCAAGGATGTTACTCTAATACTGACATCTTAATTTAAAGTAAGAGAGATAAAAGATATCTTTTAATTGTTACAACCACCGTCAGCGTTTTAAATGCTGGCCAGCTTAAACTCATTTCCTCCTTACCACGTGGAAATAAATGATATTTATATTTAATTAAAAATTTTCACCATTAGCAGGACGGCTTCTCTGATAATCAGAAGTTTTCAAACTCAATCCATAATCACTATTCTCCAATCCTTCAACCAAAAAGTCAATTCCATTACAAACTTTAAAAATTTAAATTTTTTAAATTAATTTTTTAAGGACCATATTTGCAATTATAGTTAGGTTTGCCTGAACATTGTTGTGAATTACATGAATAAATTAAAGATAAAATAATTAATAAGAAAATTTGATAAAACATTTTTAATATTCTAGAGTCAATTAAAACTTTAATAATTATTTTTTTAATCATTTAAAGATAATAGCCGGCAATTTAAAATAAGATTTAGCGACAGGGATGCCTCTTTTATCAGTCTATACAGAACCTTTTCAGGCTTTTTGGATATGCCGGAAAGGTGCCTGTAACCAAAATACTGACTCCTTTTTTGTTTTAGCAGTTTAATTTCTCAATTATCCTCTTCGCCATGGGACTTTACCACATATGTATGTTCTTATTAAGGGTTGAAGACTAATTTTAAAAATCGGAAAGCATTAGATGGGAGAAACGGAAAAATGACGGAAGAAGGGTTTCTCCCCTTGTTTCAGTGGGTAGATCAGTTTAATTGTAAGATTTATTTGATTATTTGGATTTAATGAAAATTAGATTTGTTTGGATTGTAATGAAATAAATTTTTAAATCAACAAATTTTATAGGCCAGAAATTAGTTTTCAAAGCTAATAATACTTCCTTGTTTTTTGAAGATTTTACAAGTCAAAGAATAAAATTTTAAAGAGATGTTGCTCTAAAATATATATTGAATGAGCGTTTAACACGTAACACGTTAATTTGTTGGCATTTTTTATATAGATGTTGAAGCAAAATTTTAAAGAAAATATTTATCTACATATTAAGAAAACAAGAAAATTTGTCATACAAAACACACTAAAAGATGTAAAATTACCAACAAACAATTTTCATATTTTAGAAGGAAATTTATTTTATACAAATTAAACAAACAATATTTTATCAGATATTATGATACAAATAAATAAATTTATTCAGTCAATCTCAACTAAATAATTTTTTAGTGTGTTTTATTTGTATAATACAGACGGGTCGTAGAGGGATCCGACTGAAGTGATACTCCATCTTATATATAGTACATATAAGATACCTTCAATTAGAGATCGGAGTGGGAGGGTCGTATGGGAATCGAGCTCGCGAAATAATCTTTCTCTATAACCGAGATTTCTATCTAGATCTCGTCTCGATCCGATCTCTATCTTCAATATACATTTAATATTTGAAACTCAAAGGGTACATAAAAAGATTCTACTATTCAGAAAAGCTTTCTATAAGATGTTAAGCATGCTAAATTTTATATTCGGAAATAAATAGAATTAATTAAAAAAAATTTTTTTTAATTAAATATGTACATTAATTATTAACTCAAAAACACTCTTGACTAGCAACAAATATTCTCTCACTAGATCTATTATTTATAACCGAATTTTCTTTTTATTTAAATATAATACCTACTCTCCTTTACATAAAGGAGAGCAGCCTCTCTGATAATCAGAAGTTTTTAAACTCAATACATAATCACTATTCTCCAATCCTTCAACTAAAAAATTAATTCCATCAGAATCTTTGAAAAATGTAAATTTTTTTAGATTAATTATAGATTAAGGACCCTCGTCTTTGCAATAATAATTCGGGTTTCCTGAACATTGTTGTGAATCAGTTGAATAAAATAAAGATAAAATAATTAATAAGAAAATTTGATAAAACATTTTTAAATTTTCTAAAATCAACGAAAATTTTTGTATTTTATGTTAAATATTTATGGCCAGTGATTCAATTCTAGTGTTCTCCATAATCTTTTCCGACTCGTTTTTTGGAAATATAGGGAAGAAATCTAGAACTAGAATAAAAGCGATTTAGAATTATTAGTGACAAGAATGACTCTATTATCATTCTCTCCAGAAGACTTTTAGGCTTTTCCATTCTAAATGCCGGGAAACCCTCTAAGACTATCATTTTCGGCACCTTCTTTCTTTATTAATTAATTTTAAAAAGTTGAAGGAAAGAAAGGCAGAATTAAATTTAGAAAAACTAAAAAAGTAAGGTGAAAGAAACAACATCATGATTTTAACCCTTGCTTCCAATGAATTGATCAGTTTCATTGTAGACCCTCACATTTGTTTGGATTAAAACAAACAATTTATTAAACAAATAAATTTTTAAATAAGTAGGGGCTAAAATTGATATTGAATAAGCGTTTTGACATGTAACGTGTAAATTTGTTGGTAACGTGTAAATTTTTTTAAATTTATTAAAACAAGGAAGTAACTACAAAAAACACATAAAATAACGGACAATTTTAAAATATTATGTAGGAATTCAGACATGATCTATTCTGTTGGAGTCTATAACCTTTCCTGGCTCATTGGAGATGTCTGGAAAGCAACCTAAAAATTTCTATCTCGATTCTCGTACGATAGTTCAAGTCCGGTCTCTAATAATGAGTCGCTTTATAGAAGCAATATTAGAAAAATGTGATAATTTTAGTCAAATTTACTTGCTAACTTAATGATCCAGAATATTTGGTCAAATTAATATGAAATTGAAACTATATAGTGCAGAAAAGAGTTCCAGCTTGGGAAGAACTCTCTCTCCTTCTCTTAGTGCAAAAAAGGGATCAAGCTAGTCTGAGGTTTAAGCTATATTAATAAAAAGTCGAGATTGTTGCCTATCCGGGACTAATACTTATATTACTTTTCTTTTAGTTTAATTTATAAACAGCAACTTTTCTTTTATAACTTGAAAATTATTAACATTTTATACAATCATTTTTTTGTTTGATTAATTATTCAAAATTCCTTTAATATCTTGTACATCCAATTTATTTGGTACAAAATATCCTTTACAATCCTTCTTACACAATGCTTTCTTAATTACTGCACATCCATTACAGCTGACTGCTCCTATTTTCATATAATCTGTGCCACATCCAAATACTTGGCTAGGTTTAGGTGTGTACAATATGTTAGGGTTATTCTCCAAAGAAAGGGCCCCTCTGTAAAGTTCCAAGTAAACGTGAGGACCTGAAATTTCAAGATTCAATTGATCCTTCTTAAAAATTTATTTTTTTTTTAAATTGTTCTCATCCAATCAAATAAAAATAATTTATTTTCTAGTCAAACAGTAACAACTACACCAGATACCTATGAGTAGGATTGTCGATTTTGGGAAAATTTTCAGATATCCGGAACCGAAAAATCATCGGTTCTTCGGTTTGGTCAGTAACCTACAACCCTACCTATAAGTGAGAGATAGACCCGGATCTTAAGGAAAACCTTGACCATGATTTTTCCTGAACCATAAGTCAGGATCAAGACATTCTTAAGATCTTTTTTATTTTTTTAATCAAAGCTAACGGTCGAGATTTTATATATTTCCAATCTCCATTATGATGCCATTCTACCTATTTCATAGGGTGAAAGGAAACTTGACCGTCCTTTCATCAATTTCTAATTCTCATTTTTTAAACGTTGGCCCATTCATCTTACCCGCATACTGATCACAATAAGGTGCCAATTCAGCATATACAGGAACATTATTCTTTACAGGTACAAAACAATTACCATCTTCATTACAAACACAGAAATTCTTCATTCCTCCACTTTTACCACAAAGAACCCGAATTGCCTCAAAATTTAATTTTAAGTCTTTAATTTTTTAAAATTTTACTTCAGGTTCATAAATTCCAGGTTTTGCTTGGCTGTCATAAAATACATCTACCAATGTTGGTTTTGTTGAATTTGGATTGCATTTGATAAATCCTTTAATTTTTTAAAGTTTTTTTTATTTTTCTCCCTTTGCCCTCTTTATTAATTAGACTCTCAGGTGATTGAAGATTATGTACGATTATTAACATGGAAACATTATCGAACTTAGTTAAGCTTTTTTGAGAAATCCCCACCCGAATGCCGCCTCATGGCAGATATTGCTAGGCACTTTCGCTTTACACGTACAAGTTTACCATTTAGCTACCGGGAACTGCTTTCATTTTCATCTTTCCTAATAAGCATTCCAGATGCTAACGAGCTGGACCTCTTTTTTATTTTACATACATCAGGATAAATATCAAAATAAAATTTTAAAAATTTCACCATTAGCAGGACGGCTTCTCTGATAATCAGAAGTTTTTAAACTCAATCCATAATCACTATTCTCCAATCCTTCAACCAAAAAGTCAATTCCATTACAAACTTTAAAAATTTTAAATTTTTTAAATTAATTTTTTAAGGACCATATTTGCAATTATAGTTAGGTTTGCCTGAACATTGTTGTGAATTACTTGAATAAATTAAAGATGAAATAATTAATAATGAAAATTTATAAAACATATTTTAATATTTCTAAAGTCGATTATAACTTTAATAATTTTATTTTCGAATATTTTTTGATAATAAAAAGCAATTTAAATTAAAATTTATTGGCGAGATGAGCTCGTTTATCGGTCCATCCGTAACCTTTCCTGGCTTATTGGAGATGTCTGGAAAGAAACCTAGGCCAGGATTCTAATTTCTCATTTTTCCTCTTTGTAATATAACGTGAAGAAAGCAGAGAGAGTGAAAAAAGGACATGGCTTGCTTCTTTTCCCTCTTTTGCTTATACTCAAACACTCCAAAGGACTGAAAATTTGAACGGCCATAACTCGGCCCAAAGTCATTTTGCGAAAGAAAACGGATCACTCCACAATAGTAAGACGAGGGTCCTCTATCGAATGGTACCAAAAAATTAATAAATTCGCTCTGACAGTAAACGATGTTCCCTTGTTAGCCGAATCTCTCACTTTGGAGTGTTACTACAAGTGATACTGTAAACTAATTTTAAAAAACGGAAGACAGAAAAGCAGAGTGGGGTTTAAAAATGGATGAAGGAAGTCGAAAGAGGAATAATTTGATTTATTAATTTTAGAGGAATAATTTCCATATTTCATAATTCAGTGGGTTTATAAGGATTTAAATAAAACAAATTTTTAAATTATTATAGACCCGTTATTGGCCCGGGAATTTTATAGGCCCAAAAATTATTTTCAGAGCCAATAATACTTCCTTGTTTTTTGAGAGTTTACATGTCGAGAGAATAAATAAAATAAAATTTTAGGGATGTTGCTAAAATATAAATTGAATGAGCATTTTAAGCATACGTGTAAATTTGTTGGCATTTTTTATATAGAGATGATGTTAAAGAAAATTTTAGAGAAAAATATATTTTTCTAATTTTTCCTCTAAATTTATAAAACCAAAAAAGTTAACTACACGTCAGAAGATGTAAAATCAACAGCAACAAACAATTTATGTATAATATTTTAGATGGAGAATTATTTTACATTCAAAAATTAAACATTTTTATCAAACATTATGATCTACACAAGGTATACAGTTAGGTCTCTTTGTTATAAAACCTCAGATATGTATGTGATCGAGAAATGTTAAGTGTAAGTAGAAAATGTTTAATTTAAACGTATATAGGGTGAAATTTTCCATTTATAAATACCCTACAAAAAATTTTTCAAAGACAAGTTTTGGGAAGAAGGCGCTAAATAATTTTTTTTTTGATTCAAAATATTGGAGGTCATTAAGACAGATTTCTTCATTTTTGAGCGCCAGAGGCGAAAATCTTGATAATTTTGAAGTTCAATTTAATTTTATAACCAAAAAGTTCTTTGTAAGGACGTGCTTACAAATAAGTACATTCTTAATTTCGTAAGTATGAGGGTCGTTTGTAAGTACTGTACTTTCAAAATAAGTACAGATAACCTCTTGTACATTATAACCTCAATAGGAGTGTGTCGTTTCGACTTTCGTCAAAATTTCGATTTTGGTGTTTCGTCTTTCGCTTCTTAGGATCTGTTTCGACACGCACTGATGTACATGCTTAAATTCATATGCATACGTTCTTAAAATGTTCTGTGGAGCATCTGCCAACATTATTTCACACGTTGGCAGATGCTCCACAGACGATTCCTTCAGCACCGAGAGGTATAGGAGAACGAAAAAATTTTTTTAATTGTTAAAAAACACTCTTGACTAGCAACAATTATCCTCTTAATATTTCCTTTTTTTAACAAAAAATTTTTCTCCTTTAAATATAATATTCTCCCTAATATTTTAAATTCATATATGTTCTTAAAGTGTTCTAAACAAATATTTATTTTTTTTATAAAATATTAGAATTAATTAAAGGTTGTATATTAACTTTTAAGGCCCCTCTTTTGTATAAAAATTCGGTTAATGAACTCATTATTTTTAACACATGATTTTCTTTGTTTCTTTCAGCTATTTCTGCTTCAGTTTGAAAATTTGCTTTAGTTTTATATTTTGCTTCACAGTGTGATTTTGTTTCAACTTTTGCTTCTAGTTTTGTTTCGGCTTCAACTTTTGCTTCTGCTTCAGTTTTCATTTTTGCTTCAGTTTCACTTTTTGCTTCTGCTTCACATTCTGATCTTGCTTCAAGTTTTGCTTCTGTTTCCGTTTTTGCTTCAGCTTCTGATTTTGCTTCAACTTCCTTATTTGCTTCAACTTCAGTTTCTGCTTCATTTTCGACTTTTGCTTCAGTTTTTATTTTTGCTTCATTTCCTCTCATAAACGAACAATCAATTATTTGGATATGTACAAATGCCTCAAAACTTGTTTTGTTTGGCCATTTTCGATAAATATGTAATTGACGACATTCAATTTGTTTAAACTGAAACATTTTGCTTCAAGTTTATTTTAACTAATTTTAATAACCTCTTTTTCAATTTCTTCTTTTAAATCATTAGCATCAATTCCTTCGGGAGAATCACACAAAAGAAAAGGGAGATTTTTTCGAACTAGAAAAAAAATTTTTTAGAAAATTTTTTGAAATTTTTTTTGAAAATTTTCATATGAAAATTTTTTGGATTTTTTTGAAATTTTTTGAAAATTGTTTTGAAAATTTTTTGGAATTTTTTTTGAAAAATTTCGGAAATTTTTTTTTGAAAATTTTTGAAATTTTTAACAAATTTTTTTGAAAATTTTCTCGAAAATTTTTTTTGAAAATTTTTTTGAAATTTTTGAAAAATTCTTTTAATTCCAAAAATTTTCATTTCCTCTCCCAATAAAATAAAATAAAAACAAACAAATTTTGAAAGTAGCTACAGACATCAAAAAGCAAAACAAAGCCCCAAAATATCTATCCCATTTACTAATTAATTCATTATTTTCATTAGTAAATAACCAATTAAAGTAAAATAGAATTAACATAATTGTTGAAGAAGCAAAATGAATTGTTATTTTATTTAATTTTGACAAATCTTTTATTGAAAATTTTGAGGAAAATAAAATTAATAAAATTAATTTAAATAATATATTTATTACAACCATTGTAATAAATTGTTGAGAGTAGAGGGAACTTGAAAAACAAAAATAAATTTAGAAAAAACTTTTAAATTCTATAATGATTTATTATTTTTTTCAGAGCTCCAAGTTTCGAAAATTTTTTTAATTCAATTTCCGCATACCATATTTGGACTACTCCAGAATGCCAAAAACTAGTCGGGGTGCTTCGAACTTTTCTACTTTGGAACATTCTATAATAATCTAAAATTTTCTTCAGAGTTCCAAGTTCCAAAACTTTTTTAAATTCAATTTCCGTAACCGATATTTGGACTAGTTCCGAATCCCAACTGTTCCGAGTTCCGACATGTCAGGGTGTTTTGAACTATTCTATTTTGGAACTATTCTACCCATGTTTCAGCAAAAAACCCCAACTATATAATATACATATGAGGTAGGCAAAATAATGAGAGTCGCTAAAATGGAGGTCTGATAAAACTAGATTTGTTTTTGAATTTAAAAAAATTTTCTAGAATTAAAAAATTTACGTAGAATCGTCACAAAATATAGCTTCAATAGCATGAGTAAAATTAACAAAAAGTAATGCTTGAAAGACAACAACTCCAATAATTTGAAGTAATGGGACCGATTCACGGCCTATTCTTGTTAATATTTCCTTAAATTTTTTTATATTCTGAAAGGAATATTTGAGAGTAATTAAATTAACTATCTACTGTAGATGTCCTAATAGAAGCCCCGAGCTTCTATTTTCAACACCCTTCATTGAGTGGGCTTCTGATAGTGGATGGGGGTTTATAAGGTAATTTACGTTATCTTAAAAATATCTTGGATCATCATTAACAATTTAAATTGAAACAAAGATAAGGTAGTTTGCTGCTTAAATCTGGTAGGGGCAATAGGATGTAATAGGATCTAGGAATGGTTTGGTCTAAGAAATGCCAGTTAATGTATATTTTATAAATCCTTATAATCAAAAAACTACCTCTTTAGAACAATCCCCAAACAACCAACTTAAAAACGGATATCTTGGATCAGCATTAACAATTAAAAGAAAGGCAGTATCCCACAATACTAGACCGCCCAAATGGCTGTGATTTTGTATATAAACAATTAATTGGTAAATAAATAATAAATTAATTAAAAAATAAATTGAGGGATTTATATATGATGATAAATTATTTTTAATATTTTGATTAGTATTTTGAGGGTTGTTAATTAATTTTTCAGTATTTTTTGGTGATTGCAGCATTATATGAATTTATTTAAAAATAGAATAAATAGGCTAAAATACTTATTTTAATAATTTGTATGGCAATTTTAAGGAAATCAGGAAGAAGACCAAGCTAGAAGACCAAACTTAACATCTTTGAAAGGGAAGATATCACTATCGGTAGACGAGGGATTGGTCGAGTTATCCGCTACACGAAACTCGTTCATTTCCACATGAGATTTGATCAAAAAATTTGAGAATCCAATCCAAAATCCTACCCAACTTTTATCAAGCAGACCTATCCTAAACCTGTCATGTTGACATCTTCTAACAATAATTGCTAGAAGGAAATACTAGCTAGCTTTTAAATCAAAAAGCTTGAAATAATACATTCAGGACAGGTCAAGATACGAGGAGGGTGGAAACTTCGTGAAGTATATCACTGAGCTTTCAATTTTAAATTTATCTAGAAAATTAATTTAATTTTTGTGAGAAATATTTTTTACTTAAATTACAAAAATATTGAAAAATAAATAAAATAGAAAAATATATTAAATGTGCAAATTCTAGGTAAAAAATAATAATTTGTGTTTGCTCTTATTCACTAGAGGTGTTAATTGATTCTCGTTTTTAATTGTTTACATAAATAAAAACATTGGAAATATACACAATATATATTTTTTTATTTATTTAAAATTCGTCATATAAATTATTTAAAAAATTAATTTAAAAATTAATTGTACGGACAAAAATTATTTTTAAATTTAAGAAAAATTGAACACTAATAAATTATTTGATTTACATTTTTGGTTTAATAAAACACATGTTTTCTTCCTTTTTATTACCTGTAATTAAGGGAATCGATAAAATATTTGGGTAATTAATGAATGATAAAATTAGACGACATTTTTGTTATCTTTTAATATTTATTTTACAAATAATTAGGTATGTACTAAAAATTTGATAAAAATTATACAAGAAAAATAATCAAAGAGAAAGAAAAATCAGTAGAAAATATTATTTATACATATTGGGTTTCGTATAAGTTTTCCTTGTGTAAATTGAGTAAATATAATCGTCACGATTTATTAATCTCTTGTTACGAATTATCTCAAACACTTTTAACATAATTCTGTAGTAAATAAATTGGAGGAAGCGTCATTTATGCGGACATTTTTTTACAAGGGGAAATACTTAATATATAAAATTATATTTTTTATTCAATTTAAACATTATTATTTTGACAAACGGAGATCGCTTTTCCGGCGCCAAATGCTGATAATTTTTGGGACGGGGAGTTCTGCAGGACTCCCTTAATTATTTTGTGTGCATCTATTCTTAACTAACTGGCAATTTTTGGGATTGTTAGATGCCTAATCCGCAAAAATCCAAAAATGTAAATTAATTAGCTTTTAACGTTCTTGTCCTTCCTTTTCAATTAAAAAAATTAAAATAAATTAAATAAAAATTAAATGCACAATTGAAATTAATTAATAAGGGCTTCAACTGCTTTTTAATTTACTTCTTCATCCAATAATCTTCATTTGAAATTCCATACAATTTAATTTCATTAATAAATTTTTCGTCTATTAATTTTTCGTTACACAATTTATTTTTTATTTTTTTATAATTCGTCATATAAATTATTTTAAATTCAAAGAAAAATTGAACAATAATAAATTATTCGATTTACATTTTTGGTTTAAAAAACACATGTTTTGTTCCTTTTTATTACCTCTAATTAATGGAATCAATAAAATATTTGGGTAATTATTAAATGATAATTAAACGACATTTTTGTTATCTTTTAATAATTAGTTAACAATTATGGATTAAAATTTGATAGAAATTATAAAGGAAAAATAAGTAAAAAAGAATGGAAAACCAGTAGAAAATATTAAATTTATTAATATATATTAAGTAGATTTAGTACTAGTTTTCCTTTGTTACAATTAATAATACAATTAATTAAAATAATCGACAAAAGACATATTAATCTCTTGTTACAAATTATCTCAAACCCTTTTAACGATCTTAGTAAATCGTGAAGAGGTCCAAAAACTTCAATATACATAAAATAAGAACAAGACAATAATAAGAACAACAAAAAGTCTTTTATATCTTTATTCATCTTTAATACACTTCTATAGACTTCAACGCCGTTTGCTTCAACAACAGTATCAGGAACTGCAACTCCAATCCTGAAATTAGAAGCATCTTCCGGTTCGATTTGTGTATCCACAACGAAGTCAACATCATTGAATTCTTGATGTTATTGAGTTTCGACGACTGTAGAAGCATCATTAAAATGTTTCTCTTCCTTCTGTTCTTCATTTTCTTCTTAAACAAAAGTTTGCCCAAGAATTCTGCATAGTTTGTCGTATCACTTTTATTGGCATAATATGGAAAGTGAAGAGATGGGTGAAGTTTTGATTATTTGATCTGTGTAGTCACAACAGTCAACATCATTGAATTCTTGATGATATTGAGTTTCGACGACTGTAGAAGCATCATTAAAATGTTTCTCTTCCTTCTGTTTTTCATCTTCAATAGCAGGAAGAGGAGGCAATTCAACATCAACATTGGATTCTTTTAATGAATTTTTTGGAGTTGAATGAGTTGAACGTATATAACTTCCTTGACTTTCTTCTTGTTTACTTTGTCCGTTTTCTTCTTCTTCTTTATCCTCTTTTCGAAACAAAATACAAATCAGAACGCAAACAATGCTTGCAAAAATTCTGAAAATTATTAAAGTAAACAAGGTAAATGTTATCCAAGATAACTCACAAAACTACAACGCCAGAAATAAACAAAACAATGGTAATTGTAGACATTCCTGAAGACTCGGTAGAGGTTGGAATCCTTGTAATTTTCACATTATCGTCAGTTGTAGTGTCTTCATTATTAATTCTGTCGATATTTTGGGTTGTTGAAAATTCCAAATTTTTGTTCCCAACTGTTGAACTGCTATTTTTTGCGACTGGAACATCATGAACAAGAATTTTAAAGTGTTCTTTGTCCTTAAAATATTTTTATTTTAAGAGGAAAGAGTCAAGTTCCTTACAAATCGAATGAACATTTTGTCACATTTCAACAATCTTGCTTCTTTAGTACATCCTGGTTTTGTCCCGTTTATCTTACAGCTTCCCCAAGAATTCTGCAAACTTTGTCCCATCGCCTTTATTGGCATAATATGGAAAGTGAAGAGATGGGTGAAGTTTTGATTTTTGTTGATGTAATTATGTCCAAACTCTTCCATTCTTCAGCCTTGCGAAATTTTTCCTTTTTGTAGCACTTTGTTGGTAAATTAAAAAAATTTTTCTTCTTCGCTGACTGAACCATAGCGGAATTCCACCCCTCTAATCATAAGCTTGAATGATGCGTCATGCATACTACGATTCTTAATTTGCATGAACTTTTGCTTGTTTTCGTCACCAACTACGTTTAAATTAAGTTTAGAAAAATTGTTAGAGATTTCGCTACCTAGCTGAATGAAGTAACTAAGAACTCTCGATCCTCTAGATGATGTGTCCATCCATCCAATAGAATAGAAGGCTGTTGCATGCCAGCAATCATTTTTCTTTTTGCATATTTTTGCAACCTCTTCATTGCTACAGTCACTTGTATTATTCCTTGTTTTCGGTCTCTCTCTCAATTCTTCGAATTCACCTCCTTTTTTGCTGTAGGAAAACGATATGCTAAATTATTAAATTATATTTTGTAAATCAAAATTAATTTACAAATTATCTGGGACTTGATTTTCTTTCGTGACACACTCGGATAGATTGCCAGAGATTCCAAATTCCAATAGGATTTGACCTTCATTCTTTGTAACCAAATCAACAGAACAGCCAAACTCAATCGTGCTGGAATTTTTGGAGTACCAAAGAATGCTGTTAAATGAGGGGATTTAAACAAATTAATGTAAAAATATTTACATATTTCCATCGTTGTCCAAAGTGACATCACAAGCGCCATTCAGCTTCCTGTATTGTTCAAGATCCGTGTCGTTTTCGGCAATCCTCGTATTGTTCTTGAGCTCAATAATTGTCTCGTTAACCAACACATGCTTGCCATGCCCGACGACTTCTTCACATTGAACAACAAATCCGAAAACCAAAAGAATTGAAATGCACCGAAAGAAGGCATTCAGGCCATATATTGTTGTTTGACTCTTAATGATTAAAGATTTAGTAAATTTTATGCTTTTATATTTTTGATTAATTGGGGGTTGAAGATATATTTGGAGAACTTAGAAACGTGCAAAATATAATTTTTTTGGTGAGTTTACGAGAATGTGAAAAATAATTTTTGAACTATGGAAAAAGATTATTCGAGAAAGTAGAAGAACAAGAGTGAATTAGAAATTTTTCAATGATTAAAGGTAAGCAAATTAAAGGAGAACTCTGTCAACTTTTAGACCGCAAAAAGGAATCTTAACACATTCCTCAACAGGAGGAAACTCAAAAAAACTCAAACCCTTGCAAACTCAAACTGCAAGAAAACTCAAACTCAAAAAAAGGAAACTCAAACTCTTGCAAATTATTCGACAAAAAAATACTCTCTCAAATTTCCATACATCCACAAAAAACTATTTACAACCAAAACATAGGTATAAGGGCTACACAAAAAATGAGAGAGCAAAAATATGAGAGTCTAATTTATATATTTACCTATTTATTTTCAATCGAGCTTTTTCTTCTTCCTTTCACGCATTTTTCTTCTCATCTTTATCATCTTTCTTCTTATCATCCTTCTTGTTTCCATTCTCATCTTTCTTATCTTCGTTTTCCTCCTCGTTGTGCTTCGGCTTTTGCTTTTTGCCATCATCGCGATAGGTGGTGGCGGCACGTTGCCTCACAGTTTTCTTCTTTCCACCACCACCTCTAACCATTCCAAACAGCAAGGCAAATCCAAGATAAATAAGCAGGATAAGGAGCAGCAGGAGATTTCTATAAAAAGATTCGCGCTCAACTTTGCCCTAATTTTAAAAAAGAAAAGTTAACTCACGTAGTATCCGCAAAAAATGTGCCAACAAAGCAATTAACGCCACTAACCATGAAGACAATAACGACGAGAACTTGAAACACAAAGAAGAACATTTTAATGTTGGAAGATACAGCGAAGATTTTGTTTATAGAAGAGCAGGTTTTGATGAAGATGAGATTAAGATAAATTTTGACCCTTTTATACCTTTATTTTGCGAAGTAAATCCACTCTTCAAGCGAACTTTCCCTAGCTTAAGCTAATAAAAACAATCAAAGCCTTTCACCCCTAAACTTTAAAGACAAACACAACAAATAACTTCAAACTTTAAACCCATTGTTTTTATTTAAAACAAAAGAAAATAACAATTAAAATATTTATTTATCAAAAATTTCTCTGTCAGATATATTTTCCATAAAATTTTCCAATAACAAAAGACGTCAAAAAATAAATTCCACAACCAAGAGTAAGGGGAATTGGAAGTGCCGGTAAATAATTAGGTTGTTCATCATTGGCAGCTTCTTCAGATAAACGTAAAGTGTATAATAATCTTTAAGGGAAGGGAACGATTTAATTAATCTCTTAATTAATTTACCCAAATAAAACCCCAAAAATTGTAAATAAAATAGTCAAATTAAAGCAGCCGCCCATATCAGCAGCTGCTTTTCCAATGAATAAACTATAACAAATAAAATCTCCAATTCCAATAATTGTATCATCTTTAAAAATATTTTTAGAAAATTTTTTAGAAAAAGTATGGTAATGGATTTTATAGTTTCTACATCTTATTCACCACAAATCCGATGCCTTCCTTTTTAAAATATCACGAATTCTTTTCCTTTTTTGCTCCCAAAATCAGCAAGTTTTATTTTTTACTCATCCCATTTATTTTATTAAAATGGAAATATTTAATAATTAGGGATCTGAGGAAGGAATTTTTTAATAAAATTTGGCTGATTTTATTAAAAAGTTAAAATATCTATAGATTATACTACATCTTTATAATCCTAATGCTGATATTCTCTTATAATTATATTTTTACAAAAATAATTAATTTGACCACGATATTTGTAAAATTTTGAAAAATTTTAAATATTTGTAGACAACATAAAAGTGGACGGCCCTTTTTTCCTTCCTATTTTTCCAATTTTTTAGCATTCTATGGCAAATTATATATCCTTTAAAAACGCCCTTCGAGCTGAGTTGAATGACATTAAAATCAACAAAATCTTACTTAAGTGAACAAAGTTCATTGGCACAAAATGTTCTACCATCGATGATTTAACTTCATAATTTTGTTAGGTTGCGAAATTCACAAAATATTATCCATATCTCGGATCAAAATTGCAAATTAAATGTTTTTAGATATTCTAAATTATTTTTTGATATTTTTCGATATTGTTATTTTATCATGTAAATATAAAAAGCCATAAAAATACATATGCTTTAAATATAAAAAATGTAAAGAACTTTTATCAAAAAGCATTTCATGATTTTCTCATTTCTACAATTAATGCTTTTTCATATTTTAGACAAAAGTTTATTTTTTTATTAAATACAATGAAGCATTTTACAATTTCTGGTTTTGTCTTTCTCAATATGGTTGTTACTGTGAGTTTTCAATTTTTAATATTAAATACATGTTTTAGTCTTGGTCTAGTTTAGTATAGACCTTGATCCTTGACCTTGATTTTAATTAAGGACCTTGACCAGATTCTTGACCTTGAATCAAGGAAAAATCAAGGTCAAGGAAAAATCAAGGAACGCTGAAAAATGGCTTGATCTGGACTCTGGGTCCAGGAAAATCAAGGTCTGGATCCAGATCAAGAACGCTCTCTAGTTTAGTATTACATGTAATTATAGTAGTGCAATGAAATTTTATTGTCTCTTCAAAGTTTATTACAGAGTCCAATGAAGGTTTATGAATCCAAACAATACATATTTTATGAAATGAAAACTTATTGGTTGTTTCTCTATATTTTTTATGTTTTGAATTGCGGTAAATGATTGAGATACCTTTGGTTAAAAACTTATTTCAAAAGTGGCGGAGCATAACTCCACCACCGAATAGGGAATTCCAAAATGTGGACTTCAAAGTGGCTTCTTTAATTGAGTATTGATGGAGATTGGATTGATCCTCAACAACTAATGCGAGGAGGAAATATTACCTGAGCCAAGATTCAATACCCCGCTCTGGTCAGAATTTTTGATTGGTCTCATAAATTTGGAATAGACTAATAAACTTTCATTGAACTACTAAACTAGACCAGAAAAATATTTTTTATTCAAGTTAGCTATTTGGTCCAATGTTTATAAATTTAATAATATAAAATATCATGATTTTCCAATGCAACATATAGAAAATATTTTGATTCCAAAAACGGTTTTGCTTGATGGATTTGTAATTTTTATTTTTTTTACGAAATTGCTTTATCTCATTCATTTTCTTTTATTTTTCTCGCAAGAATGCTAATTACTCATATTAGTAATTAATAGATATCATCCTTTTTTTGTTTTTAAATTTTTTTATATCAATAGATATTCGTTTATTTAAGAGGAAGCCACTATAGGTTTTAGCAATGTAACACATTTAACGACAATTAAAAATTGTCAAATTGCCATAAAATAAACAATGTGATAGTAATGAAAATTAGTCGCGATTCTGTAGATGGCTTGTCATTGAAAAATTGACATATTTTTGCCTAAATAATATGGCTAGGAAATATCACTTTTTATGAGAAAATAAAAGAAAATGAAGGTTGAGAGATAATACGATAGTCCGAAATTACTAAAATATTTAACAGTTAAATGGACTTTTCATTGCATTAATTATTATTTTAATTGGTTTAATCTGTGGACAATGTGTGTTGAGGGGTTTAAAGCTCTTTGTTGTTGTGTTTATTAAATTTATGTTTATCCTGATGTCGTATATTATCCCAGCAACTATTATTTTGTAAGAAATTAATTTTTGGCAAATTTTTAATCTGGGCACTTATTCGAATAAATACGTTTTGTTTTTACGATTTCTGCCCAGCTAAAGCTTCTTTTAAGTTCGACATGAAGCTTTTTTACATTTGTCAATATACTTTTTATGAGTGATTCGGGGTAATTGAGAATAATCTTTTTGGAAAGTATTCAATTTAAAAAATGATCCTTCACTGTGGATTGAGCAGGATATAGATTATAACGGTCCAGAACCAAAATTAATTTTTTAAATTTATTTTTGAATCAATTAACATAAAATTTAACTTTTTAAAGTGACACATTACAAAAACTTCTTGGCCCAAGCAATTCCTATATTTATTTATACACAAACATTGTTTCCATTATTTTTACCTCTTCTATTGTTATTGTATGTTTTTCTATTTTTTAATCCCACAAAATTTAATTTCAAATAATTTGTTAGGCTTATTTTACTGATTATTCATCAAATTTTGTTCGCCAAATTCTTACTGTTTTAAATTGCTCATGTATTTCTGTTTATTATTTGCGATTTCTTTCTGGACACACAATTTATTTTCTTTTGGCTATAATTATTTTATGGGGTAAAAAATTCTTTTAATTAAAAAAAATACGAATTTTAATATGGTCAATTTAAAAATGGAAATTGATATAGATTGATTAAAATATAGATAATAATGCCTAGGACCAAAAATTTATTTTTAAAATTAAAATAAAATTTTAATTAAAAATTATTTTTAATTTAAAAATACCCCAAATTTTTTAATTTAAGACAGATTTTCTGTACTTTCTTCTTATGGTCCTATCAAAATTTTTACGTTACATTTTCATGATTATATTGAACGAATTTTTCCATTTCTATTTTTAATTGCTAATAATAATGAAAATAATGAAGAGGAAGATATTGAGAAAGGAGAGAGAACGGATTTTAAAACTTTAAATGTTTCTGGTTAGTTTCTATAAATTATTGGCGGTAGTTAGGAGGGAAGAGATTTTTAACTATTCCGTTAATTTTTTCCTTAATGCCTCAATATCCGGAAGTGTGAATTGATTTAGGAATCTCCTCCGCTTTAATATTTTGGTACTGGCAATTCCTGCCTTTTATTTTCTCCCAAAGTTAGCATTTAATAAGGAAATGCAGAACAGATATTCTGCCGTGTATTTAAGATCAGAAAATTTTACGTAAATTTTCTTTGTTTGCCGTCAGCAAAATTTTACGAATTTTCAAAATTTTACAAATATCATGGACAATTAATTATTTTTGTAAAAATATAATTATAAGAGAATATCAGCATTAGGATTATAAAGATGTAGTATAATCTATAGATATTTTAACTTTTTAATAAAATCAGCCAAATTTTATTAAAAAATTCCTTCCTCAGATCCCTAATTATTAAATATTTCCATTTTAATAAAATAAATGGGATGAGTAAAAAATAAAACTTGCTGATTTTGGGAGCAAAAAAGGAAAAGAATTCGTGATATTTTAAAAAGGAAGGCATCGGATTTGTGGTGAATAAGATGTAGAAACTATAAAATCCATTACCATACTTTTTCTAAAAAATTTTCTAAAAATATTTTTAAAGATGATACAATTATTGGAATTGGAGATTTTATTTGTTATAGTTTATTCATTGGAAAAGCAGCTGCTGATATGGGCGGCTGCTTTAATTTGACTATTTTATTTACAATTTTTGGGGTTTTATTCGGGTAAATTAATTAAGAAATTAATTAAATCCTTCCCCTCAATTAAAGATTATTATACACTTTACGTTTATCTGAAGAAGCTGCCAATGATGAACAACCTAATTATTTACCGGCACTTCCAATTCCCCTTACTCTTGGTTGTGGAATTTATTTTTTGACGTCTTTTGTTATTGGAAAATTTTATGGAAAATATATCTGACAGAGAAATTTTTGATAAATAAATATTTTAATTGTTATTTTCTTTTGTTTTAAATTAAAACAATGGGTTTAATATGTGAAGTTATTTATAGTTTTTGTGTTTAAAGTTTAGGGGTGAAAGGCTTTGATTGTTTTTATTAGCTTAAGCTAGGGAAGAGTTCGCTCAAAGTGTAAATTTACTTCGCAAAATCCAAAACACAAAAGAAAATTCAACAAATCGCGATAATAAATCGGCAACAAATTCAACAATTTCAAGTTACAAAAGGATGCTATTTCGTTGCAACCAAACTTCTTCAAATGTTTCTTTGATGGTTCCTGTCTTTATTTTTCTATTGTTTGTTGGGTGTATGGTTTGTAATTCAGAATTGTAAATTGATTACCAAGAATC